TCTATGCCGTTTTGGCAAGGTATCCAGCTTGCCAATTCTCATCGATGCCTGACTAGGAGGCGTCTCCGACCAAAGAAAGCGAATGCATTGGCTTAAACCGCCCATGAAACATGGTCTCTGAGAAGATAAATCGTAACGTCCATATAACTGAGATGGCTAAAAGGATTTACGACATAGAGGAATCATCACCTACTCCTTATTACTTGATCTGAATCAACATGCGGTCGACCTCAACTCTCATTTCATGCGCAACTACTTCCTGTTAACCCGTTTAGGCTCTTAAAGTAAATGTTTTTAAGTTGGGATCTTCCAACTTTTTACATTGTCTTAAATAGATTAAATGTTGGAGGTAAGGAGATGCCTTATTTTAGAAGGGTGACCCATTTTAAAGCGTCTCACATTGACACAGCCACACGAAAAATTGTTGAGCCCTGGAGTGAAGGCTGAATCCCCACCATCGCAGACTTCCGTACTCCGCTGTACCGTACTATACTTGAAGTCTCCCACGGATACCAGGAGATATCTTTGCGTTCGGGTTTAGCGTCTTTGTTAGGCAGAAGCCTCGTGCACCACCACATGCTGTTGCCCGCATGCGTACTACCACTGCTGCCCGTCCTCGCGTCTAGCGGTGTCTGGACTAGAGCGCCCACGACATGGGCCTCAGCTACCATTTATCTCAGCATGACGGTCTCTGTCTTTATTACTAATGTAGTACCGCCACGTTAGTACCTCCCCCCTGGTTCACCTAAGATGCTCTTAGCACATGTTTTTCGCAACTTGTTTTATTCCTCGAAATCGCAGTCCTACCTCAATCTCCAGCAAGATCGGGTACATCCATAACGAATTCGCATTACAGAGTAATGTTTTCAGCTTCGCTGAATTTTGTTTGGGTCAGGCTGGCCGAACTTGCAGCAAAAGTGTATTTTTAATAATCCTGGGCCGACAGCAGATCGTTGATAATTTCGAGCCTTTCAGCATTGTCATAAGGAGAATAGATAACTCTTAATCGAAAAAAAAATTCAACAGTTTGAATGCATTCCTTCTCCAGCTCCATCACAGGACCACCGGATATTCCTTCAAATCTCCCAGCCCTTTGCCCTTGAGCCTGATTCTCTCTGTACCACGGATTTTCTCGAAGTGCGAGACGGAGCATTCGGTTTCTCCCCTCTGATTGGTCGGTTCTGCTCGCGCCTGCCACCTCCTGAAAATGAGGAAATTCGATCCACCAGTCGCTACCTCTGGCTCCGATTCCGAAGTGATAACACCCTGCCACACGATGGCTTTAGGGCGATCTTTTACTTCCAAAAAGCTGGTAATTTGAACAAAAGACTCTTTTTTTAAAAAAATTGGACGACTTGAGAGTTTATTGTCAGCCAGGACTCCCTCTCAGCTGCGAGGGCCTGTTTACTCATGGCATTTGACAACACATGACGCTCCAATTTGTTATCAGAAGCCGGTGACACATCAGATTATGCGTTAATTCTTATGACATTCATGTAAACTAACTAATGGTGTGGCTCCAAGCAGTTCACTGGCTAATCAAGAATAGACTATGAGCAAATTTTAACATGTTTACTTCATTCACATACCTTAAGAATTTCATCGGCTACCAGATAAACTGTCCCTTAAGTTAACCTTTTTGTTTTCAGGTGATCGCCACGATGAGTATCGCGGTAGGTCATTTTTATTCTAACTGTTCAAGCATAGTTACACGTTTTTAGTGTTTAATTTGTGATGTAATGAATGGGAAAATTTTTTTTGCATATGATAACTAAATCCTTCTTTCTTTTCCCATTTCTGCTCTAGATCTACATCCAAAAATACTTCGTAAGTTTTATGCCTAAATATAGCTCATTGTTTTCATATTGCTGCTAAAATTATTTATAAGGATGATTTCAGGGGTTGTATGATAGACCTTAAAGTGTTCAGAATGAGTCAGGATTCTTACATTTTGGCATTACCAGGGCGGTTTAATGTCATCCAACTAAATGAAGATGAACAATGGACGATGCGAAGTGAATTCTTAACTAAACAACTTGACTACGTTAGTACGGAGGAACGACGGCTTCCCTTGGAAGCTGTCTTCGACATTCGTTCTCCTCCTGGAACACACGTAAGTAGCTGCTCTTCAAAGAATTCGGTTAAAGGGTGTAGTTGTCCGTCCGAAAAGAAACAGTGTTACTCATTACAGATTCTGATGCACGTACACCACTTTCAAGTGCCGCTGATGGCGGCCTGGAGCTGCGACCCAGATTTTCTGCTTAAACAAAAGGCAGTCAAGTACTGCGATTACCACTCAGGTTCGGGTTCGGTGAGGGCGGATTTTTTTACTGAAAAATCGTCTAATATTGTTCAAGGTCAGTGCCTGGTCTCTCTCATTTTTAGTTGATTTGAGTTATTTGAAGACTGTACTCGGAGCTGTGTGTACAGAAGGCAGGAAATTTCTCGGACTGTCAGCTTTGATATAAAGACTCTTCCGAATGGCGTTCCGTGCTGAAGACACTTACGCCGTCACTCGCATTCTGTAGTTACCATAACTTCGCAACAGCTATTTTCAAGTTGTTCAAGCCTGGTGTCGCTTTGGTTATTCATTGTCTTCTCGGACAACTCGGAGTTAGGGTAAAAATGTCGAAATCAGATGTAGCTTCATTAACTTTTCAAACGGAAGTCTCAATTGATTCCATGATCCACGGTGGATGCCATCCCTTTGTGACGTTAAAGTGTAATAATCAACTTACAATATCAAAATGCTTTGTTCATTTACTTGGGATCTGTCCGTCACTGCCCTCAACACAACACTCTAAGCTTCCTTGGGGGCCGTTGTAAGCCATATCGGAGTAGAAGAAGGAGAGATTCCAGGTAGAGCTGGAGCGCTGTGCTACCCAAAGGAAGGCATAATCCACAGAGAGAAGGGTTTGCGTAACTGGGTGAATGACTGAAATAGCCGCTGTCCAATCGTCCTCGTACACTAGTTGATAAAATGTTTGCAAATGAAGTGGTTCCCCTAATTTTCTCCTCTGCTTTAGTAAAAATACTTCAGTCATTTTCTTCTTTGGGTGGAAGCACCACCATGCCATTTGCCATGTTGTGGCTCCAAGAATTCATTTATCCACTGTAGACTTCTACCCACCCTATCCTTCTGAGTGTAGGCCGCCTTGGAGGCACCAGCAGAAACTGTTATTATTTTATGTCAAGGGCAAATAGATGCGGTTTCAAAGTGGTCACTTCAGAGGTCTTAAATTGGCCTTTCATGATTTTTTGTGAAGGTTTACCGCCTTTAAGTCTAGCTCTTCGGCGGAGTGGGGGTTTTCTTCATGGAGAAGTAAACGAAGCACTATTTACTTTAATAAGTTTCTTCCTTAGTATTTCTCTTACCTCCAAATGGGTGTCCATCTTCAAATATCGAGTTTCCGCAATTACTTTTCATCCATTCTAATAATGGTGGATGTCGTTTCTTGGGGATGGTTACGTATCAGTTTCCACCAAACTGACCAATCACCGTCCTTTCCAGGGAAATTGACCAATCAGAAGCTTGCGAGGGATTTTTAATATTAATAACTCTAATGGCCCGTTAGTGAGCTTGGAAGCACGTCACTCTACTAAGGCCATGCTCTTTACTAGCTCATTTTTATTTTAAGCCCTTGTAGAATATCGGTAGCACAAAACCGATGTGCCTTTGGATTGTCGACTTTGTAAACCAAACTTAAGTCCTTTCTGATACCAAACTTTGTATAGCATTCGGTAATGATGTTGTGTAAATAAGCAATTTGATTGAGGTGGTACAGCATTCTGAAGGTCTCTCTATTCTTTACTATAAAAAAGGCACGCGTCATTGCCGATGACAAATGGATGAAGAGTAACACGTCAAGACTTCGTCGTTTGCCCTTCCATCAACTTAAAAGACATGGAAGCTGGAAAACCACGAAACTGGCATTTTTAACTGATAACAACCTTTGAAGATCATCAGTACGTCAAAAACGTGATGCCTGTTGACCGGGGCGTTATAACACTGAGTGATCATGTCATCGGCCGCCAGCTTTCGTGCAGGCCTAAAAGGCATTTTGCCTTTGACAGTGCTACAATTAGTGGTGCGACTGACATACACACCAGATTACTAATCACAGGCAGCACGGGTAGTGTGTGTGTGACTGCTTAGCAAAAGTCGCTATAATTCTGCATTTTTCTTCACCTTTAGTGAGGCAGTACACCCCATCAATACCCGATCCAGCCTCATACATCGACGGAACCCACACCTTTCTAGAGATCTATACCGATGGAATGACGATTTCTGAGGCCTCTCCTCCATGCCCCCGTGTTGATCGATTTTGCATCGCCTCCGTGCATACAGATCTGTCCGACGCCTCCGGCAGTCCGTCATCCTCTTCTTCCGCCTCCTCCTCTGGTTCCGCCTCCTCTTCCGATAAAAACGTAGGCGACGGATATGTACGTCGGCAGTTCCTTGTTCCATCACCGCGTCTAGTGGCTCGACTGATTGTTGCAAAGCCTTCCAGACCGCTTCTCTCTGCAACTGAGATTGGACCTGTAGGAGTGCTGGAGGATGGAGTAGACCCATTTGGGACGGCGAAGACCCTCGATATATTCTCCATGTTGCCAAATTTTACCTTCACCTTAACTACTCTTTCACCACGGGTTAATGGAGGTTAGTCAGATTTCATTTTCTTTGTCAAATGCGACTATTAAGACATGAAAAGTGTTCAAGAGTGGGTGGATGCATTCATGGAAATATCTGCTCTTTTAAAAGTCAGCCTCATTCCGTTTTTGATGCTGGTCATATTGTAATTATAATTATTAAGCAGGAAACGGTCTCCTCTTAGCCTACCGGTGGTATATAGAAGGACTAGGAGGTCGTAGGTGTGGACTAATCCCCAAGACACCAAAATCGATGACTTTAAAAGACCATCCCTTCACTACGTGGCCCAGCTTGGGCCACAACGAGTCTTGTAATTAACAATGAGGCTGCATCGAAGGTGTTATAATGAGTTGCTATGGCAATGAACATAGCCCCTTGAAGATAAATTTAACCAGTACCCATTTCCGACTTAGTACCCGAGTGTAGGGCATTTGCTTAGAAGTCGGTGGTGCTTCAATCCTTCTGTGGTGACTCCTGATGGGTTCAGCCAGCTGCTTTAAGTGTCTTCACTCGTTTTTTTATTTAATTAAATGGTATTTAGTTATAGCTTTGGCTTAATTTGTCCATGCTGCTTGATACAACTCGATGTAAAAGCATAACTGCGTCAACTTCACGAGGAACTACCACAACTAGTGAATCAGTCAAAAAGAAGCGACAACACAGTTCTACACTTCGTAACTCACAATCCATTCTGCCATACCACTTACTTACCTGTAGGAATATGTGAGCTTCAGTTTGGATACCATTAAGGGAATGAAATATTGCTCTCCCTCCCCGAATTCCCCTTTTTACGTTTCTCCACCCAGTGCAGTCACATGATTGTGTGAGAAATGGAGTGGACAGTTGGAGGATTAGAATGAAGCAGAACTTGAGGCGTCTAGGCCTCTAGGTTTGGTTGTTGGCTTCCCGAGTGGGTGCAGCTGGCTCGTGTTTCATTGGAAAGGGAGGAGCGATAGGATGTAGTGACGACTCCTTCAAGGAATGAGTTAAACTTCTTTTAAAGCCTTCTGTATTTAGTGCACAACAACTCATTTGGGTAGAATTTTTGGTAATATGACACCTATTACCCATGAAAAAGCGTTTATTTTGGTATTTAAGTGGGAGGTAGTTTTGTTTCGATGAAGAATCAGTTGTGATGCTTAGCGATTGTTCATTGCTCTAACTTTAGAAGCCAGCTCCTTGTTATTTTAAAGTTATTATCTTGAAATTAGTCGAATAAAAAGAGATAGTATTCAATAATCCATTCATTCCGTATCCATCCATTTATCCAGTATTCATTCATCAAATATCCATCAACCTATTTGTCAATTCATCCTTCCATTCAATCCGCTATCCATTCACTTATCCCGTATCCATCCTGTATCTACTCATCCATCCGCTTTATTCAAAAAACGGTCTCCTTTGTGCTGATCGTCGCATAGTTATAACACAACTTTGCAGAGTGTGAAATCTTGAATTTAATTTGTCTTTCCATTACTTGATGTGGTATCTGGGCTGTAAACGAAGTAAATTATGCATGTCACAAAGTAGAAGGCTCTAATTTTTAAATCATTTGCGTATAATTTAGCAAATAAAAGGATATTTTATTCATCACTTGAATTTGCTGATCAAAGTATACCACTATTTGAAAGTGCAGAAAATGAAAAAACCCATTCTTACGGGATAATCTAAGTGGAATTCAACTTCTTTTTCCCTAATTAATTTTTTCCAACTAGCAGTGAAGAAGAACTCAAACCCATTAAATTTTTTGACTTTTGATCAAAATGCCGTGATTAAAGGCCCCGGTACCCGTCCTGGCTAGTGGCGTTCGCCTCTCCCTCTGAACAGCCCTGCTAGCTTGGTCATTTTCAAATGAGCATGTTAAACGTGCGAAAAACACTTTACATCCACCAAAGTAGAGCGCTCGCCAAAGTTAACAGCAGACCTCAAATTAGTTGGAGAAGGGATGATTTTAAAATGAGATATATTGCATCTTCAGCCACATTTTTTCCACCATCCTAAAAGTATGCTGCAGAGCAAAAAAAGAGCTGGTAAATTACTCCATCATTACCTCCTCGGAAGCCATATTCAAAGGAAAATTATTAAAAAATGTTACCATTTTTAAGGATTCGCAGATGTTGCCAGATGGTAGAATGTTACGGGCACTTGTCTTGTTCACAAAAATGCTACATAAGTCACTTCCTTCTGGTTCGAGAGAATCTGCAAACGGTTCTTAAAACTCCAGTTATTAAGGTATCCGCCTTAGGGAGGAGCGATCATCATATTGCTTGAATGTGACACCAGTAGTCGAGCACTTTTTGAACATTCACTAGATTAAAAATATGAAGTCTCTTTTCATTCTCTTGTATTAATATAGACTTCATCTGTCCCCTAAAATTCAACTCTTTTTTAGTCACTTTTACTTAGTAAAAATGAGGAATGTTAGAAATTCCATCGCTAAAATTACGTGATTTAGGAGCTCCACATCTGATTGGTTGATGTCCTCGTGGTTGGCACTTGTCATTGGCTGACAAACGAAAATGCATCTTTGCATGCTAAAGCTATCCTAATTTTATGCAATTTTGCTGCAAAAAGACATTTTTTTTTCATTTAAAGAACGATATTTGTGCGTGCAGAACTGGTGAAGCTGTATGGATTGTATGTGTGTGCATGCCTGTCCCTCTAACTCTCGGCGTTGACAATTTGCGCTGCATTTAGCCTGTGCACCCAATCAACGCGCATGTGACGAGGCCTACTGCATTCAGACCAGCCATTGGTGCGATGGAGTAATCAACTGTCCACTGGGACAAGATGAGGGCGACGCCGCATGCAATCCAGGTCAGAGTCTTGTTCCTATTTTGCATGACTTTCTCAAACCCCTTTGTGAAGGGAATGATTAATTGCGTGGCTTCAATCCAATCAGAATGCTCGTTGACCAATCTTACTTTTGTATTACCCAAACTAGCTCAAATGCTTTTTTCTTAAGAAAAAAAAAGAGATGAAACATTTTGCGTTTAAGAATGCAATATCTCACTTTATGTCCCCTTTAACATATGGTTGGACCAGGGGAGAAAATGGTATATATATTCGGTGATTTGATTCTTCTTGGGGCCATCGCCTAGGGGAACAGAGGCATATGTCAAATCACCATTTATTTGACATGAAATCAGGCAGTATTATTATTTAAAAGGAGAGTTTATTTTGCCCCTATATTGTAACTAGAATGGAAGTTTTATACAAGTAATTATCGAATAATCTGACTAGTTAAATTTTCTCCGTCTTAAAATGTTTTCTTTTAGATCAGTAGTTGACGAAACTTAAAAACAGAAACCTCAATATGTGCTATTATTCTATCCAAACACATTCAACGTCGTCGACATTGACTACTCCCTCACACTCCCTCAGGACCAATAGCATCGCTTTAACAGCTGGTTTTGGATAAACTATAAGGGTGAAAACCTTTATTAACACTCAAATTAATGTTTGATTTTAGAAGCCCTTAATCATCACAAACCATGTAATTTCAAAGTCCAGGACGATCATGTCTGCCATCTAGTTCCTTTTGAAATGCATAAATTTAATTACCAGCCACATAGGCTTAAAAGTCCAGTTACTGACCGCTCTTTCAACGGCCGTACTCTTGTACACCCTGCTAAGACTGCAATGCGATCTAGCCATGTAGGCGATTTTAGGTAAAATAATGGAGCAAAAAAGCAATTCCCTCGTCCAAGAGAAGTTAATCTCCTTAGGACGGTGTAATTGACCGCCGCTGGGGATCTATTTTAGAGCGAAAAATCAAAACCAATTCTCTCTTCAAGCACCTTGCCTTTTTGCCTCAATTTCATTGACCACTGTTGCCTTATTGCGTAATTTCTGTAGGGGTAAAAGAAAGTTATCTCTTGAGGCTTAATGTGCACGAATGGTTGCGAAATAAAGTAGGAACTTAGAGTTCTACAACCATTACATAACATGCTACCCTCGTGCTGGTAAGCGTAAAGTGCGTTCTGTTAACAACGTCC